CATCAGGTGTTGAACAGCCTCTTTTCTTAACTGTAACTTTCTCATCGAGAGACAACTGTGAAAACTTAAGCTGTTGAAGTTCACTTACAGTCACAGAACTTCTTTCTTGGGGATGCAAGGAGCCATGATTAAATTATTTAAATTTTCTGTAAAATAAAAGAACCAAAAATAAACTATGAATTAAACAAAATAGCTGAAAGAATGATATCATCTAATTCTACACTTCATCACATTCAAGAATGTGGTACATGGTGTTTAAGCACAACACACGTCGCTGAGTCAAAAAGAAACACTACCTAACACTTGCACAACAGGGTCAGCACTGCATCAGCGACAGTGCTCTCTCTACCTAGCGTCCAACATCTTATCTTGGACATGTGCGCATGCGCACAACAGCCAAATGCTGAGTTGTTGGAACTATGAAGTGCACAGTTCCACACAAGGATTTTTGTAATTTTTTCATGTACTAGGGGATGGCTACTGACATTAAGCTTAAGGGTTATGCAGTGTACATGTATAAAGAAAGAATTAAAGAAAAAAGACTCATTATATTGAATGTTATCGATAATATCGAGTGAAAAGACGGGGGTGCTGCAGTTCCGCAGTGCCTATACATGAGCTGCCACTGGAAGTATTCCGTTCAAAGATTATTTTCCAGTCATCTCTGCCCATCTTAGTGGCTGTTGGTAACAATGGTGGCTGCACATGCACCATAACAAATTACACTCTTTTAAACTGCTTTTAGGTTTGTGGCCATCTTCTGATCACTGTTGCCATACTCAGGAGACTGTACTCTCTCCGTCTCCACATTTGGCCATACTCGTGCCTTACCCATGGTATCTTATGGAACGACACACTATTCCTCTCTGTAGGGTTTGTTTGGCCCCTATATCAGCACTTCACTTTCTTTGAAGATTGCCGGTTTACCAGCGAGCCGCGAGGATTACCACCAACAATGCCTCCCGTACTTACCACTCATACCTTATCTTTCCTTCTTGCAGACGGCTCTGCCTTTGACTTACAATCACTTTTTGACTTTTTGTCAGCAAGTGCTTTACTATATGAACTTTGACGCTAGCCTTAACGACCCTTCCAGTCTTTTCTCCCTTCACCTCTGATCCCCTCTCCACATAGAATGTTTATAGACCCAGCACCAAATTTATGCCCCTGCAGTGCTGCAATGACCTTAGTGCCGATTTAGCGCTTCATTTGCTTATAAAAATAAAATAATAATAATAAACAATAATAATAATAATAATAAAAATAAATGATAATAATAATTATATGCTTTTTTTGTGCCTTAAACGTTCCGTGACGTTTCTCTGTATATTCTTCAGGTTTTGTCAGTTACGCCCTCCCTTTGAAAAGGGCCGTTAGTGCACAACAATATTCCAACCTGGAGAGAATAAGCGATTTGAAGAAAATCATCATGGGCTTGGAGTCCCTAGTTTTGAAGGTTCTCATTATTCATCCTATCATTTCCTTTTTTTCCGAAGGTGGAGATACACTGAGTGGGGTCCTTTTTGAAAATGAAATCCTTCCCTAAAATCACTCCCAGGGGTCCTCAGGTTTAGTTTTTTCCCGGCTCGATTTTCGCTGTTGTGTGGTTGGAATTTGTTTTATACTCCACTCTAGTTTTAATTTCCTCTAGTTTTCCATAGCAGGGTAATCGAAATTTTCTTCATTGAACTTCATATTGTTTTTTTTTTGCGGCCCATTTAATGATTTGGTTGATATCTGCTTGGAGATTTGCAGTGTCTTCGATGGATGACGCTCATGCAAATTTGGTTGTCATCCACAAAAAAAGACACGGTGCTGTGGCTTCCATCTCTGTCACTGTCAGATATGAGGATGAGGACTTTACTCTGTTTGCTTTTACTATTTGTGTTCAGTTTTTTAGGAAGTTATAGATCCATCTACCATCTTTTCCTGTTATTCCTTTATCACTCATTTTGTGCGCTATTACACCGTGGTCGCACTTGTCGAAGACTTTTGCAAAGCCTGTGTATACATCACCTACATTTTGTTTGTCCTCCAGAGCATCTTAGACCCTGTCATAGTGATCCAGTAGTTAAATAGACAGGAGCGACCTGCTCTAAACTCATGCTTTCCTGGGGCAGCATGAGTTTAGAGCAGGTCGGGTATCTAAGTGGGTGGCGATCTTAGAGCCCTTTCAAAGATTTTAATGATATGAGACGTTAGTGCTGTCAGTCTGTAATTCTTTGCAATTGCTTTACTTTCACATTTGTGGAGATGGGCTGTGTCTGTTGTTTTTAGTAACTGTGGGATGACCCCAGTGTCCATACTCCATCTCCATACATTGCTTAAGGCACATGAAAGGGGCTTCTTGCAGTTCTTGATGTCTGGGAATGGGATAGAGTGTATGGGCATGTCATTTATTTTTTTTAATGTCTTGTAGTGTTAGGAAAATATCAGAAGTTTTGAAATAACCAAATTTTGAGTCTCGGTCATAAAAAGAGTTCCTCACATTATTATCAACCTTTTCCAGTTTGATAGTAATGTGAAGAACTCAGCTCAAGATTCATAGAGGTATTCACAGTAGAGACAGAGAGGTTTCAAGCAAACTGAGGGAGTAGGGTGCACCAGTAAGTGCTGGACATATTGCACACAACTGAGTAGATGAGGAAACTGCTAGTTGAACTAGATATCTCGAAGGCGGTGGGGCCAAATAACGTTTCTCCGTGGATCCTGAGAGAGGGAGCAGATGCACTATGTGTGCTACTTAAAATAATGTTCAGTACATATATTGAAACCGGGCAACTGCCTGAGGTGTGGAAAACAGAAAACGTAGTCCCGATGTTTAAGAAAGGATACAGATAGGCAGCACTAAACTACAAACCTGTGTGGCTGACATGTAAAGTACGTAAAGTTTTGGAGAAGATTATTAGAAGAGTAGCGGAGCACCTAGAAAGGAAAGGGCAAGCAGCATGGCTTCAGGGAAGGAAAATCCTTCATCGCAAACCTACTAGAGTTCTTCACTAAGATAACAGAAATAATACAGTAGAGAGAGAGATGTGAAGAACTGCATCTTTTTGGACTGTAAGAAGGCTTTTGATACAGTACTACACAAGAGACCGGTTGAAACGCTATAGGAGCAGGCAGGAATAGGAGAGAAAGTACTGCAATGGACCAAGGAATGCCTGACTGGAAGTAAACGTGTGCTGGTACATGACAGGGTGTCAGAGTGGGTGCATGTTTCGAGTGGGGTTCCACAAGGTTTAGTCCTGAGTCCAGTGATGTTTCTAGAATATGTGAATGACATGGCAGAAGGGATAGATTCAAAGGTGTCCCTGTTTGCAGACAACGTGAAGCTAATGAGAAGAATACAAGTGGATAAGAATCAGGTAAACCTACAAGGAGATGTGGACAGGCTACAAGCCTGGTCTCACAAATGGCTCCTGGAGTTTATCCCCAGCAAAGGCAAGGTTTGGGGAAGGACAAAGAAGACTGTAGATGGAGTACAGCCTAGGAGGTTAAAAGCTGCAAATTTCACTCAAGAAAAAGGGTCTTGGGGTGAGCATCATACCGAATACATCTCCTGAGGCTAACATCAACCAAATAACTGCTGCAGAATATGGGCACCTGGCAAACCTAAGAATAGCATTTCGATATCTATCTAAGAAGTCATTCTAGGCACTGTACACTGTGTATGTCAGGCCCATCTTGGAGTATACAACACCAGTATGGAATGCCCTACGAGAAGAAGGTAAGGGAAATGAACCTGACGACACTAGAAGATAGGAGGGATAGAGTGGACATGATAACGACAATAAAATATTGAGAGGAGTTGACAAGATTGATAGGGACAGAATGTTTTAGAGCTGGGACACAGCAGCAAGAGGTTACAACAATAACTTTAAAACTCAGTGAGTCACAGGGATGTTAGGAAGTATTTCTTTAGTTATAGAACTGTCATGAAGCGGAACAATCTGGAGAGTAATGTAGTGGAAGCATGATCCACACATAGCTTTAAGTAGAGTTTCGATAAAGCTCATGGAGAAGGGAGAGAGTGGACCTAGTACCGGAAACCGAAGATGCGGGGCTAGGAGGTATGACTCGAACCCTGCCAACCACAAGTAGATGAGTACAACTAGGTGAGTACACACAAAACCAGCTAGTTGTAGTATTATTTGCTTAAACCACTCGTTTTTGGATGCGTTAATATGTATTCACCTAACTGTACTCACCTAATTGTGGTTGCAGGGGTCGAGACTCAGCTCCTGACCCCGCCTCTTCACTGACCGAGATGTACTCACCTAATTGTGGTTGCAGGGGTCGAGACTCAACTCCCGACCCTGCCTCTTCACTGAATGCTATTAGGTCCTCTCTCTCTCCCTGCTCCTTGAGCTTTATCATATCTCGTCTTAAATGTATGGTTCCTGCCTCCACTACCTCACTTGCTAGACTATTCCACTTCCTGACTACTATATGACTGAAGAAATACTTCCTAACATGTGTACTGCTTGTGTTGACTGGTATTCCAAAAGGGAGGAGAATGAAATAGTCTTGTAGTTTCCACGGCCACGTATGTGCTGTCATTAGCGGTGACATGTCCAGTGGTACTGGGCATCTGATATTTGAAGCATTGATGGCCAAGTGGACTAATGCGTCTTTAAATTTTGCCGGGATTCTCGGGAGCCGTGCTATAATATCGCAGTATTGTTACTTGCTTAAAAACAAGAAAGAGATCTTAATATATCGAAATAATATTGAACATAGACCAAACGATGTCCGAAAGTATACGAGAGGATTTTTTTTTATTAAAAGCCCCTTTCTGATAGTAATACCACTCGAGGGAATCCGAAAACTTTATGACCGAACCACTATTGAGGCCGACAACCAGTCGACACAGCATTAGCTGCACCATGATTGTTATAAATAGACAACCTACATATACTTGAGACCAAATATTTTTAGTATCAATATAATTTTTAGCAATGCTATCGATAACTTAAAAAACAAAGCAAGGTTATACTAACCAAGAATATCCTGCTGAGGAAGCCATTCGCTGATCTTCACATTGTCAGGAATGTTCTCCAACTCTCCTTCATATTTCCAGATAACTCGTTGTGGCAGCCTGCGGAAAGCCTTGATGAAGATATCACGGTACTGAACTGGAATGCTGTGGCCGCTAGCAACAGTGCCCAAGTTGAAGTATATGACGCCAGAAGACCCAGCCTCAGAGATCCACGACTCGATCTCCTGTTAAGTATTGATAATGTGGTGAGAAAACTGGAAAGTAGTTTACAGCATATAATATTCCTCTTATTGTAACAATAATGATTATTCCCGCTTTAATAATATTTCGCATGCGTATGGAGAAAGAACATCATTTTTGGGTGGAGGGGAGAGTAGCTGGCCTGGGTCATGAAACTGGGAAATGATCCTCTATGCCTAAGCACGTTCCAGTGTGCCGTTTAAGCCTAATCGCCGAGTTTGGCCTATTTGGCAAGGGTGTTCTTTGCCGAATTAGCAGAATGAAATCTTGTTTTTACCATAATCAGCGAAAATCAATCTGAACTTAATGAAAAAATATATACAGTGGACCCCCGCTTAACGATCACCTCCAAATGCGACCAATTATGTAAGTGTATTTATGTAAGTGCGTTTGTACGTGTATGTTTGGGGGTCTGAAATAGGACGAATCTACTACAAATATTCCTTATGGGAAAAAATTCGTTCAGTAGGCACCTGAATACTACTATAAAAAAAGTTCGTTTAACCGGGGGTCCATGTATAACGTTTTATTAAACAATATAAACAATTTAAAACTGACCTATGATATCTAAAGAATTTAGCTACATAAGTTCGCTAGTTGAAGTTAGGTTAGTGAGGTATCTAATAGGTTGCCAATTTAAATTTTATGTATCATAAAAAAAATAATCAATCTGAAAACATTTTTTGGGGAAGCCAATTCTAATGAAATTCGCTATTCAGCAAGTTTGCTTATAGGTACACGAAAATTTATGTATGCAATATTGCCAAATCATTTGAGCCTAACGAAAACAATAATTTCACTGTTGTTTAGTAAAATTATTGTAAACAAATCTAAAATATATTTAGTTGGGTTAGGCTAAAATAAATTGTTCTTGTTATAATAAGGTTAGGTAAGTTTTCTAAGATTCTTTTGGAGCAAAATTAAAATTTTTACATCAACATTAATGAAATAAATATATCTTTAAACGTATAAGAGAAAAATTTAGAAAGGAACTTAATTTTAAATGAGTTCTTGCTAACTGACCAGTTTTACATATTCGGCACGACATATATATAATATATATATATATATATATATATATATATATATATATATATATATACACACGTGTCAGCAGATGGGTCTATGAAAGATGAGGTGAATCATAGAATTGATGAGGGGAAAAGGGTGAGCGGTGCACTTAGGAGTCTGTGGAGACAAAGAACTTTGTCCTTGGAGGCAAAGAGGGGAATGTATGAGAGTATAGTTTTACCAACACTCTTATATGGGTGTGAAGCATGGGTGATGAATGTTGCAGCGAGGAGAAGGCTGGAGGCAGTGGAGATGTCATGTCTGAGGGCAATGTGTGGTGTGAATATAATGCAGAGAATTCGTAGTTTGGAAGTTAGGAGGAGGTGAGGGATTACCAAAACTGTTGTCCAGAGGGCTGAGGAAGGGTTGTTGAGGTGGTTCGGACATGTAGAGAGAATGGAGCGAAACAGAATGACTTCAAGAGTGTATCAGTCTGTAGTGGAAGGAAGGCGGGGTAGGGGTCGGCCTAGGAAAGGTTGGGAGAGGGGGTAAAGGAGGTTTTGTGTGCGAGAGGCTTGGACTTCCAGCAGGCGTGCGTGAGCGTGTTTGATAGGAGTGAATGGAGACAAATGGTTTTTTAATACTTGACGTGCTGTTGGAGTGTGAGCAAAGTAACATTTATGAAGGGGTTCAGGGAAACCAGCAGGCCGGACTTGAGTCCTGGAGATGGGAAGTACAGTGTCTACACTCTGAAGGAGGGGATGTTAATGTTGCAGTTTAAAAACTGTAGTGTAAAGCACCCTTCTGGCAAGACAGTGATGGAGTGAATGATGGTGAAAGTTTTTTCTTTTCGGGCCACCCTGCCTTGGTGGGAATCGGCCAGTGTGATAATAAAAAAAAATATAATATAAATATATATATATATAAAATATATATATATATATATAATATATATATATATATATATATATATATATATATATTATATATATATATATAATATATATATAATTTGTGTATGTGTACATATATTTATAACACTGCCCCATATCAGACAAGCAGGTCCTTTCTCGCACTTTTCCCAGCATCATTTCCCACATTTCTGAAGCAAATAAAAGAGTTGCTCTCAGTATCAGTGATAAGTTTCCTGATCAGATAACTGCTTCTTCAAACCAAGTCAATGGAAAACATAAGATGAGGAAATAAAACACATGCACAACAACTGAGTATTTTTATTTGAAGATGACTTACAAACAAACGGCTTTAATAATTCAATTCAGAAAATATATATTATGATAGTACAAGATAAGGTAATCATTCCCTCAGCCTTCTGTGTCTATTTTTGCAAGACTGAGGGACTGATTACCTAATCTTCCATTGTTATCCACTGTCTTGTCTGTATTGAATTGATGAAGCGACTGTTGCCAAAACGTTTTCAGATATAGATATTTAGTAGCTGTGCATCTGTCTAATTGCTCTTTCTGTCATTTTTGATGGTAATGGTCATAAGGAAACCATACCCCCTCCTGGATGAACCCGCGTCATATGTCTCAAACTCAGCAAACGTCAGCGCAACCACTAGACCAGCGTACACTAATCAGATTCTCAACTAGGTATTTTCTTACACCATAGGGATTGAACCCGGTTCATCCGGCCGGGGGTTGGGTTTTCTTTCAATGGGTTGATTACGATTTCTCAAGGTCGATTGCTTAGGAGGTTGGGACCTAGGCTGCACATGACAGTGGTCGGCGACTAAATTCATGGCCATCAGTTGGAGAGGTAAAAGGGGCAGGGCAGCAACTGACCTAAGGACTGGTTCCGTCAACGCTAACCTGGGTTTTATCTATGTACCTAACCTGCGACCGGGGGTACTACCTGAGGCAGGGGATTGACTACCTGTTAGTCATTGCTAGACTTACCTGTACCAGGGGTCACTTACCTGAGCAGGATGACTTACACTAGTAGGGGTTCTCTTGCTTCTAAAAGACATTGTTATGACTAAACATGAGGAAGGTGAACTGGGCAGGGTTAACTTTACGAGGCAGCGGTTGAGTTTTCAGAGATACGTGTGTGATGACCTATTCAGCAGGTATTGTCTTAGCCTGAGACATTGTGTTTTTCCCTTAACTGGAAGGTTTGACTTACACTGGTAACAGTTTATCTTACTTGAGGCAAAAGGTTATTAAATGAGGCTAGGGGACTTGAGTCCATAAGCAACGTAATAGGTCTTACCATAGTTCATGGACTACTTTTCTGTGCCACTTTGACCTTTACCCGAGGCAGGGGGTTGATTACCTGCGCAGGGGATAATTACCTGATTGGCACATGTGCTTAAGCTGAGGTAGGGGGCGTGACGTGAAAAGCAGGGCGTTGATTACGGAAGATACTGGATGACGTACGTGCCCGAATTGACTTACCTGAGACATCCGGGTGGTGCAGGAGGGCTGGAAGACGGATTAACTGAGGCAGGAGGGTATGACTTACTGAGGCAGGGTTGACTTACATGAGGAAGGGGTTACTACCTGAGGCACAGTGTGACTTACCTGAGCAGGGGGTTGACTTACCTGAGGCACAGTGTTGACTTACTGAGGCAGGGGGTTGACTTACCTGAGGCACAGTGTTGCTTACCTGAGGCAGGGGTTGACTTACCTGAGGCAGGGGGGTTTGACTTACCTGAGGCAGGGGGTTGACTTACCTGAGGCAGGGGGTTGACTTACCTGAGGCAGGGGGTTGCCTGGACGACAGTGCATGGCACCCACCTCCACTTGGGAAGGTAAGAGGGGCAGTGGCAGGCCACTGGTAAAGTGTGTGTTCATCAGCGCTAGACTCATGTTCCTCTCTATGTCCAACAACGGCGGCAGCTCCGGGAACTGCGCTGAGATCTGAAAATACCACCAGTTGTATACTGCACACACAGGAGTGTTTCTCAGACACAAATTCACTTCAACTCCTAATCCAGACAGTAAATGAAACTATTCACTTCTCTTGCTTTTAAAATACAATTATGTTAAATGAGATCAAAACAAGGAAGAAAGAATGGTAGTCTAAACATTTCGACAGTCGGCTGAGGTCCTTTTCAGCAGATACTTAAGCTGGAAGTCGATATATTCAGATTATTATTTGTAGATGAATGGTTCAGAGAACCGACATGTTGATAAATTAGACACATGTGCAACTCTTGGGTATCTTTATTGAGGAAACGTTTCGCCACACAGTGGCTTCATCAGTCCATACATAGGAGAAACTTGAAGAACAGGAGGAGAATGAGGTAATCAGCCCCTCCACCTATGACTGCTGCACCTCTCCTGCCATACGGTTTATAAGCTGATTCTCCGCTCATCTGCCGTATTCTACTCAAGATTGATGGACTGAACACATCGACTCAAGGTTGAGGGACTGATTACCTCATTCTCCTCCTGTTCTTCAAGTTTCTCCTATGTATGGACTGATGAAGCCACTGTGTGGCGAAACGTTTCCTCAATAAAGATACCCAAGAGTTGCACATGTGTCTAATTTATCAGATTATTATTCTTGGTCGTTTTATATCATTTGTGTTTTTCTCCTTCACCGATAAGCGTTTACTACACTTTGCTGTAACCAAAATTCTTTATATATTATATAAAAAATATATATTATATATTATATAGAAAACCTTAGTCATTAAAAACGTAATAGGTTTTACATATTTTTTTTCACCTATTTTTGTCCACTTTACCTCTTTCTGTACAGGAGGTATAATTGTCCAGTGTCGCCAGTAAATTGCAATTCTTATTTGAATCATAGCGTTAAGGAAGCGGTTCCAAATGGAGAGCGGACGTGGAAAATCAGTCATGTGATTAGGAACATATGCTGGATGAAGTACGTTGCCAAGAACGGCACTCTGACGGTAGTCAATCCCTGGTGTGGTGACCATGATGAAGGTAGCCTCGTGCAAGAACGGATATGCCACCTACAAGGAAAGTGACATTATTAGGCATTCAAGTCAGAGTAGGTAGTTTAAAGGGATACACAAATAACCAGCACATTAGAGAAAAAACTTATGACGACGCTTTCGGTCTGACTTTGACGATAAACTAGTCACGCAAAAACGCGAAGGGAATTTTTCTTGTATCTCGCTACCAAACTCACTGTGTTTACTCATATCACAACTGGAAAGCTCTTTACTGTTAGTCTTGAGCCCCAGTAATAATCTGCATCACAGTTCATACATACATTACAACCTTAAGAGAATAATCATTACATTAGAAGCTGTGAATGTTCTCATATACAGTGAAGAACCTCTTAAGTCAGGGCCCAGGAAATATAATAATGGATTTGTTTTACATGTAATGCATAAATAGAGAATTCTGGTGTTACATTTACCTCTTTGGCAACACAAACAACTCTGAAATAAGAAAATGAAAACTCTATATTTAAGACTGAACAAGAGAGGCCATACATCTCTTAACAACACACTCAAAATAACTGTGAAATTTTTCCCAATAGCAGAGAATTTGTCAAATGCTCTTATGTAACAAACTGTAAAAATCATGTAAATCTATCAGTATTTGTGGTAGACGAGTTTCCAGACATCAGGGAGATCAAGAACGGAGTACATAATGGTTTCAAGGCCTAATAACTGAACCTGACAAGAGCTCATAATTGTTTGAGCGGCCAATCTCTGCTCTAATATAAGATGTTTACAGTAATCTTTGATGAAAATTTAAGAGAGATAAAATCACATAAGAAGTAACTGTAAAGTGGCATAGTTAGTGTCAAGTTGTATAATGAGATACGGATATGTGCTTAAGCAATGTCAAATGCACATAAACCACAATGATAACGTTTTGCTTATGATTAAATTCAGTATTATTGTATCACATCATTATAAATTATAGACATCTATCTGAGCAAGAAAGAAGATGTCTCTAGTGAAATTTGTTATCATATACGTATTGTTAATGGCCAGTGTGAGTCATGTGAATAATCTTAATTAGTGGTAGTTAATATAGGTTCTAAAGTAACATAATCCCGATAGGAACACGAGCTACAGCTCCAGGCCACGGAAACCGTATAAACGAGTCAATGTAATGTTAGTGCTTAAAGAAATATCAAACTGTATTGCTTATTATTATGATTATTAATATTGCATGATTATTATTAGATGATTATTAGTATTATAAACATTATATTATCAAAAAATATATTCTCAACTCAGAACGTGAGATATCCACTAGCGTCACATGTTGCATATACTTGCTTCAGAAAGTATGGTAATGAGTACATCAGGTGATGCACATCATTACCATTAAGTAATAGTAACATGGGGTAACCAGATGGTGTGACTAACTCAACAAGTGCGATGTTGTACCTGGTGCTACGCTAGCATGGCTGCCATGCTCCTAGTGACGATCATGTCCATGGTGTATGCTACAGGCTGCCATGCTCTCTAGTGACGATCATTGTACCAGGTACTACGCTGCATGGCTGCCAGCTCTTATGGCGATCATGTACAGGTTGCTACGTAGCATGGCTGCCGTGCTCTCTAGTGACGATCTCGTACAAGTGCTACGCTACATGGCTGCCATTTCTTAGTACGATTCTTGTACCAGGTGCTACGCAAGATGGCTGCATGCTCTCTAGTGACGATCATTGTACCAGGTGTTATGCAGCATGGTTGCCGTGCTTCTAGTGACGATCATTGTACCCAGGTCTATTGCTAGCATGGCTTGCCATGCTTTCAGTGACGATCATTGTATCCAGTGCTAGCTGGCTGGCTGCCATGCTATCTAGTACGTCATTGAACCTGGTCTACGCTGCATGTTTGCATGCCTTAGTGACGATCATTGTGCTCAGGTCTACGCTAATATGGCTGCCGTGCTCTCTAGGCGATCTTGACCCAGTGCTATGCTCAGGCTGCCGTGTCTCTGTGACGATCTGCACCAGTGCTACGCTACATGGCTGCGCTTTCTAGTGACATCATTGTACCAGGTGCCACGTAGCATGGCTGCCGTGCTCTCTTGACGATCTTTTACCAGTTGCTACGCTATCATGGCTGCCATGCTCTCTTGACGATCATTGTATCCAGTGCTACGCTAGTTGGCTGCCGTGCTCCTATGAACGATCATTGTACCAGGTGGTACGCTACATGGCTGCCATGCTCTCTAGTGCGACTTGTATCCAGGTGCTACGCTAGTGGAACTGCGTGCTCTGCTAGTGACGATCATTGTATCAGGTGCTACACGCTATCATGGCTGCATGCTCTCTATGACGATCATTGTATCCAGGTGCTACGCTAGCATGGTGCCATGCTCTAGTGCGATCTTGTATCAGGTGCTCGCTAGCATGTGCCGTCTCTCTGTGTCGATCATTGTCCCAGGTGCTACTATCATGGCTCCATGTCTCTAGTGACGTATTGTATCCAGTGCTACGCTGCTTGGCTGCATGCTCTCTAGTGACGATCATTGTACCAGGTGCTACGCTGATTGCTGCCTGCTCTTTGGTACGATCATTGTATCCAGGTGCTACGCTCATGTTGCCGTGCTCTCTAATTTGTGGTCATTGTATCATGTGCTACTAGCATGGCTGCTGCTTCTAGTGACAATCATTGTACCCAGGTTGTCGCTATCCATGCTGCCTGTCTCTTTATGATCATTGTATTCCAGTGCTTACGCTTAGCATGGCTTGCCGTTCTTCTTGCCTCTTGCCTTTTTTTTTTTAATTTTTTTTCACTTTTCATATGTTTGAACATCTACAAGAGAGTCTTCTTCATACAATGTACAAATTTGGATTTTCGCAGTCTTCCGCTGATTTCCTGTAACTGTTTGTTAGGTTAGATAGGTTAGGTAAGTTCGTCGGAAACTGGGTAAGTGTTTTCTGGCGTGGATCTTGATGATGACCACCAAAGGAGCCTATGGTCATCTGACGAGGCCTTCCGTGGCTTGCGTCCACCCTTTAAAAATTATGGTCAGTTTATAACAATTTTTTATGTTACGGTTCTTCTGGATACCGTCACTCACTCTCAGACTATCTGTTATTCTTGTTCAGTCGTGTTTTACGTCACAGCTCCGTTTATTAGTAAACTTGAGTAGATGCAGACTACTGAACATGTGATGATAGACTGATTTACTTTAGTTCTTTCTTCTGCTGATTATATCTACTCTGGTTTTGTTACTGTCTTTGCTGTTATATCTACTCTTGTTTTATCACTGTTTTCTTGCTGTTATATCTACTCTGGTTTTGTCACTGTCTTTGCTGTAATCTATGGAAGCTTACTCAGCCCTGTAACAATTCAGTCAGTATTACTCAGCTGGCTCCTCTCAGAAAATTATGAATAGAAAGAACAAAAACTGACCAAATTATACACTTTATTATTTAGGAATATGAAATATAAAACACTTAAATATGATATGATCCTACATGAAAAAAATTGAAAAATTAAAATATAAACGATATTGAATTCAAAAGCTAAAAAAATTTGGTTGTTGTGTAGTGACACTGTGTTGTGCAATAGTAGCCGTTGCTGATGATGTGGGGGGGGGGGTCACGGTGTTGGTGACAACCCACTGGCTCGTCTGGTGCCGTAAGTAATCTTTCTTTGCAATGAGTAGTCAGGTTCTTGACCGCTGTAGTGGAGGGGGGTTATGGGTCTTGATTCTTCATACAGTGCACAGGCAAGTAAATCTAGGACGTTAGTCCGTCTCCTTCATTTACTCATTGATTAACAGGTGACCCTTCTGTCATCAAGGTAAGTGCTGGAGCTGTGAGTCAGTGTTATGTTTGGACCGGAGCCCACACGTCACCTTCGGGGGGGGAAGAGGAGGAGGGATAGTGGAGTCTAGACTGACCCTACTTTTACAGCAGCCGCAGTCAACTATCACTTTCGGGGTGGGGAAAAAAAGGCGGGATAGGGAGAGCGCACTTGAGCTTACAATACTTACAAGTAGCCGGCAATGAAACGTCACTTTCGGGGAGGGAAATAAGCGGAAATAGCGGGAAGCTTGCTTTACCCTACCTTAAAAAGTAGCTGGCAAGAAATATCGTTACTATTACCCCTTCTACTCCTAATCTATTGAATTTTACCCTCCACCTCCCTATCAGAATTTTCAAGGGTATAAGAAGAATAGCGAGGAAAAAGTTCTAACATGTGGAAGTGTTAAGGCAACAATCTTGACATGCTGTCACGCTTAACAAGTCTAGAGAAAGTACTGATGAACCATTGATATACACTTATGAACTTAAAAACTGGACTGCCAATGTTCCATCCACATAGAGGCGACTGTTGGTTCCCTTAAAAGTTTCTGGTATATCAAAGGTTTGTGGTCCATTTCTAAAATGAATTCTTTTCCCAGCAAATAAAATTTAAGTTTGGAGATTCCCCACACAAGGGCCAAACATTCCTTTTCTATGGTGGAGTATCTCATTTCTGTGGGAAGGAGTTTCCGGCTTAGGAAGCATACAGGGAAGGGAGTACCATCATGGTATTGTAGTAACACTGCACCTAAGCCAGTATTGGAGGCATCAGTTCTCAAACAAAATGTTTTATTAATATCTGGAATCTTAAGTATACGGTCTTTCGAAAAGATATTTCTAATCTCATTAAACTTTTCCTGAGCTACATCGGAAAGTTCAAGAGGTTCCTTCACAGACTTTTTAAGGAAGTCGGATAAGATGCCTGTAAGATCAGTAAGGTTCGGGATAAACCGTGCATAAAAATTTACAGAACCAAGAAAACTATGCATGAGCTTCTTGGTTTTGGGGAATTTAAATTCTAATAAAGCTTTGAGCTTACTGGGGAGAGGCTGCAGAGTGTTATTAGAAAGTATCAGTCCAAGATATCTAATCTTGTTGTACCCAAGGAAGCATTTCTTCTGCTTGGCAGTGAGGCCATGTGAGCGTAACCTACGCAAAACTGATGTTAATGTTTGAATATGTTCACCCCACGTGGATGTCATTACATAAATGTTATCA